CTCTGCCCCTCCTCCAAGGGGGGCCCCCAGGGTCTCTCCCCCCAGGCCCCGTGCTGCCCCCTTTTCTGCTAATGACGGGCGCTGGGACTCACCCAGCTTCCGCCCTCCTCCCGCCCTTACCCCCCCAGGCGCTCCCCAGCCCGCGTCTCTCTTCCTTTTCCTTCTTTCTTTCTTTTTAAAAAACATATAATGTTATTGATGTCAGAGAAGAAGGGAGAAGGAGACAGAGACAGAAATGTCAGTGATGAGAGAGAATCATGGACCGGCTGCCTCCTGCACGCCCCACACTGGGGATGGAGCCCGCAACCCGGGCGTGTGCCCTGAGCGGGAACCGAACCCTGACCTCCTGGTTCATAGGTCGATGCTCAGCCACTGAGCCACGCCGGCCTGGCTTCTTTTCCCTCTTGAGCCAGGAAGTTCTCAGAGGGCCCCCACCCCGTTTTGTGGGCAAGGGGACAGTTCTACGGGGTGACCAGACCGAAGCCAAGCAGGGCTCGCGTCAGCCCGGGGCCTCACAGAGCTGAGCACAGCCCCCCTGTCCTCCTGTCTGAGGCCCCCCCATCAGCCCCCAAGGCCATCGGCCGGGACAGGGACCCCCGGGAGGGAGGGAAGGGGCAGCTTCTCGTGTCCCCCCATCTGGGGATCTTCTGACGCCCCCTTTCCACTCCCGTGCCCAGGCTGAGCCCGGCTCATGGGTCTCCACGGCCCAGGCCCAGATCCGGGGCCTCCGCAGCCCCCCCTGTCCGCAGGCCTGGCGTCTGCCGGGAGGGGGGGGTGCCAACCTTGACCTCCCTCAGACAAAGCGTCGCTAACTTGTGTCCGCCTGGGAGCCCGCAGTGTCTCTGCCGTGGACACCACACAGGCCTGGCCACGCCCCTCCCAGCCCCTGGCCCAGGAGCCCCGCTTCTGCTCGGACAGCCCCCCATCCTGCCGCCCTCCGCTCCCAGCCTGCATTTCTTCATTCAATGTTCTCCCATTGGATTTAGAGAGTGTGGGAGAGGGAGGGAAAGACAGAGAGAAACATCGATGTGAGGGCATCTGTGCCAGGTGGAGACTCGGCTGGGGTTGGCACGGGGTTCCCGGAGCCACTGTGGGAACCAAGGCGCCTCGGGCCGCT